AAACCTACAAGTCTCAGTCCTAAGGGAGCCCTGGGAGCTTGGGCATTCTTTTTTTTTTTTTTTTTAAGATTTATTTATGCATACAAGAACTGGGGTACAGGCCAAGGTGTGGGGGTGAGAGGATTCACCAGATATAGTGGGGAACAGAACAGGCAGACAGACTGAAACACAGTGCTGAGGGGAACAGCAGGTGAGACAGGAGAGGTCTGCTGTGCCATATGGGTAGCTCTCTGGTCGGCCAGGGATCAAACTCGCTTTGCAGTGGCTGTGGATAGCTTCACAGTGCTGCGTTTAACCCCGTGCACCACCAGGGAGGCCCAGCTGGTACATTCTGATCCCAATGTGACCCACCTCTGCTCTCCCCTCTAGGACTCCAACCACCTCACCCCAGCAGCCTTTCCTGGAGGTTAGGGGTGGCCTTCAGGCCCTGCTCTCCACCTGGTGAGGAGCTGGTGTGTCTCCTGGGCTGAACACCAGCCAGGACCATCCTGGGAAGGACTAGCTAGATTCCCAAGTGCACAAGATGGGGCAGGCAGTCTTGAGAGGGACCGAGCGCCCTGTCCCTGGAAGCAGTGAGCTCACATCGAGGACGCACTGAGGGACCTCTGGGAGCAGGCCAAGAGCCCTAGTATTTCACAATCCTGTGGCTCCCAATTGCCCCTCATTCTACCACATGCACTAAGCACAATTTCCCACAATCCCACCATCACCATTCACAGACAAGGACACTGAGGCTTATTTGGGGTAAGAACTATTCAGGAACTTGCCCAAGATCACACAGCCAGGAAGGGGCAGAGGCAGTATTCAAAGCCCAGGCTCTCTGCTTCCAGAACAATACTCTCAACACCACCATGGACCACTTTGAGGTCTAGTGGTAGGGAAAGCTTCTGATATGTTTATTCACCTGCCAACTGGGAATTACATGATCACCCCCAATACCTGGAGGAAGGGCAAGAAGGATAGAAGATGCCACCCACAGGAACCTCCCTGGTGGCCTAGGGGTCAAGTCACAGTGCTATCACTCCCTATATGATAGTTTTATCTCTAGATCAAACTTACCTACTTATCCTTTTAGAAACTATTTATACACATTCATATTTCTCTTTTTGCCTGGGCTGTTAGAAAGCTCAACAAATAATCAACCACTTTAGACCTGCTATAAATAGCTGATACAACAATCTTTTTGCCTCTACGTAAGTCACTCTCCTCTATACTTACAAATACACACACATGCACACACATACACCCCACCAACTTTGAAAAATATATAACCTACATGTGGCACAGCAGACGGCTCCCATCTTTTCTGCTGCTCTCCTCAGCAGTGCATCTCAGTAAATCCACCTGTTCTGCTCCCCACTCTGTCTCTGGTGAATCCCCCGCATCCCCACACCTATGGCCTACATACCAGTTCTATGGATAAATATATAAATCTAAAAGCACAAATGGCCCCACTGCACAGGCATCCACAAGGCTTCTGTATCCTGGGCCTCAAGGATATCTGCTGACGGATGGGCCTTTGCATAAGCTAGTCAAGGGGTTGTCTGTTTTGAGCTTCCTCCTTACTAAACCCTTCCACTCATGTCAGGAAGTCTTCTAGAGTGGCCCTGGTCCCTGATAAGTCTCTTCCTGAAGTCCCTCTTTTTCCCCTCCAAAGCACCCCAGGAATCCCATCTCTCCCCAAACAGAGAGGGTCATTAGAGTCAGGTTTTATATTTCCAGATCTGAATACGAATCCCAGCTCTGCCCTTCTACCCCATGTCACCTTAGATGAACTGCTCACCCTCCAGCCTATTCCCAAAGCAGTAGTTTCAAGACCTCCTTTCTCCCCTTGACTTGGTGAAGACTAAAAACGCACTTGACATCACTCACTTTATATTTATTCTATAAAAGCCCTGGGATCACAGGATAAGGATCACCATGAAAAAGAACTTCCTAAGTACCAGAAGCACAAGTTGTAACTACACCTTCTGCAACAGTCCAAGATTCCTCCCTCCACCCCCTTGCCACACAAAGATTTTTCATCGAGTTATCCTAGATCAGACTTACCTACTTATCTTTTTAGAAACTATCTATACACATTCATATTTCTCTTTTTGCCTAGGCTTGTAGGAAACTCAACAAATAATCACCCACTTTAGACCAGCTACAGGTTGCTGGTACAACAATCTTTTTGTCTCTCTATATGTCAATCCCCTCTATACACATACACACACACACACACACACACACATATGCACACCCAACTTTGAAAAATGTATTACTTTAACTCTTCGGTCTCAGTGGCTTACTATCATATTCTATCTAATGTTCTCTCTGGAAATAAACAGGGTGGTAAACCAGTAAGCAGTGAGATTGGTCCTTCAGGATACATGTAATACAAGACAAAGAGCACATCTCAAAGAGCTGGGCCTTTCTACTCAACACCCCTTCCACCTTCCTCATGCCACATCTAGACCACTTCATCGAATCCTAGAAAACAGAGGTCTGATAGTAAATTGGCTTTCCTCTTTCCATCTTCACATTTACCAATTCCTCCAAGCAGCCTTCTCTGGTTCTTCCTCTCAAAGCTCATCCTCAGGGCACCTCCCTCACAGACCAAGAGGTCCTGCTGGGATCTCCATCACTCCCTCAACAGCACCAGACCCATGGGAGCATCAGCGAGTGTGGTAATTGAGAGCATGGGCCAGAAAAATCACCCCTCAGGTCTTAGATCTCAGCTCTATGACTCCAGAGGAGGAGAGCTGCAAGGTCTTGAGCAAAGAACTGACCTCTGAGGCTCCAACTATCAAGTGAAGAGTGTAAGAGACTATAAAGCCCTTGGCAAAGGGCCCAGAATCCAGTGCTTGCCCTGCCTGAGGGTGAGAGTGACTATGGCCTCCCAGCAGATGGTGGTGCCTGCTGAGTGAAGCCCCTGTCTCAGACCCACTGGAACTGTCCCCGTTGCCAGAGAAACAGCTCAGGAAGCAGCTTCCACAAACAGACTGGAGATCTTCAAAACTCTGACTGAGAGGCTCATCCCCACCTCCCAGCCCTCTCCCCCGCCAGGGCCACAAAAGCACTGCAGGGAAAGCAAAGGAAGGTCACCCCACTCATACTGTGCCTGCGAGTCTAGAGACCTACGTGCCAAGCTCCACCACAAGACTGGGCCGCTGGCCCACAGGAACCCCCAAATCAGAGACACAGGCCTCTTTTTTAAAAGAGCTACCAAGGTCCTGGCAGTCATAGCAGGGTCACCCCTTATTCTAGTTCTCGTGGATTAAATGCAAAAGAAGCCAGTGCTCAGTCAGGAGCTAACCCTAGGGAACTGCAGCCACCTCTCCGTGGTCAGCTCAGTGGAGACCCCTCTGCTGTGCCAAAACCTCCTGAAGCTGCCACCAGAACACTGTCACCCGGCTTCTGGCCACCCCAGAAACAACCCCAGCTTCACCAACCAGCTACTCCCTGCAACTTCCCATCCACTTTCTCAGCTCCAAGCTTGGCAGTTCCTGCACCAGGCCCTTTGAATGCCCTTCCCTACGTCTGCCACAGATTTCAACAACCCAAATCTGCTGCTTAGAACCACCTCTCCACCAGGAGACTCAGAGACACAACTGATCTCCTTTTCTCTAGCCTTTCCCTGCCCTGAAACAGGGATCCTTTCAGCTCCAGGGTGTGCCCCTCACCTCCAGCCAGGCTTTTCCCACCCACAGAGTTAAATTAGTCCCTGGACAGATCTCCCCCACCCCCTTTAACCCTCACCCCCTTTTATCTCCTACCTCCTGGGCAGAGAATCTGCAAACACTTCTGGGAGAGGAGCTCAAAGTGTAGATTTCTGGGTTGCACTTCAGAAGATTCAAATCCCAAACCGACATTTTTCTGGGAGCGGGGACCCAGAATCTACATTTTTAAACAAATCTCTCCGGGCGGGCCTCAGGCTGGTGGAGGCGGGAGTGGGGCCCGCGGGAAGATTTGCAGCAAAGATAGCAGCAAGCCCGGAACAGGCCGAGCACACCTGGGAGGGAGGGGGGCTTGGATCCCGGGCCACTCAGCCTTCCGGCCCGAGCCGGGTCAGCCCAGTAGTGAGGGGCCTGGGAATGGCCAGGAAAATCGGTTCCTGGCCCAGCTCCGATGCTACCCTAGTCCTCTGAAAATGGACCGGCCTCGGTGGGGAAAACTCCCAGGGAAAGCCACCCAGCTCCCCGACTCTTAATAAGGGGTAACGAGAAGAAAGCCACCCACCCCGATAAAACTGGGGGGGAAGGGACCTTCCCCTCGGCTCCCTTCGGCTGGGCTCCGCAAAGGATCTGCGACGCTAAGAGTCCGGCCAGAGAGCTCCCCACAAACCCCCCTTCCCCGCAGCCCGCTCTCCGGGAGCGATGTCTCGGGCGGGCAGGGCCGGCCAAACCGACTGCAACCTGGCGGGTCAGCCAGCAGACGCCAGAAGGATCCGGCTGCGCGAGGGAGCCCCAAGGGCCGAGCCTCAGGGTCTGCGTCCCGCGAGCGCGTCTCCCCTGGAGGAGTGTTCGGGGGTGCGGCCTCGCGGAGCCGCCGGGAGCTCGTGGAGGGCAGCAGAGCGTGGTCTTTGCCTCAGCCAGGATCCCCCGGAGGTCTGGGGCCATTGTCCTGGCCAAGATACACAGTTGTGCGTAATGATCATGGTTTATGGGAGCGCCTCCGTGGACGGTCTCTGGTGACCAGAGAGTTTTCCCTGGGAGTTTTCCCCACCGGGGCCGGTCCATTTTCAGAGGACTAGGGTAGAATCTGGGGCGGGGCGGGGTGGGGGGAAAGCAGGTGACAGGGCGCTGGGGAGCCGGCACGGAGAAATGGGCGCGCGGTGCGCGCGCTGGTGGGGACGGTATTGGGGATGCCTCGAGGTAAGTGGGTCCAGGGTGGTCTGTAAGGCGTCGGCCCAGAGCAGGTGCACGCGTCAGGGGTGCATGCAGAATGGCAGCCAGAGCAGCCCCGGCGTCCTAGACCCGGCCGGAACCCGCCCCGGGCGCCGGCCCGCGCGCACTCACCAGCTGCAGCAGCATGAGCGCCCCGAGGGTGGAGCGCACGAAGCCCAGGTCCGGGCGCAGCGCCGAGACCGAGACGCCGGCGCCCTGCGCGGGGCTGCTGGTTCGCGTGCTCACTTTAGACGGGAACTCCGCCATGGCGGCTGCGCTCGCCTCCCGAGGTTGCTCCGGCCGCCGTCGCCGCCCCTCCCGGGTGGGTGCCGGCTGCTGCGCCGCTGCTCCCGACGGGCTCCAGCCCAGCTGGAAGGGGAGGCTGGAGCCGCCAGGTGCGGCCGCCCCGGCCCCGCCTGCGCCGCGGGACCCGCCCCTTTAACCCTTCGCGTGCGGCCGCGGGTCCGGCCCCGCGTCCCCTTCGCAGACGTGGAAACTGAGGCCCGGGCTCCACCTAGGCCAGCCTAGACAGCCAGGCCTTCCCGCGGGGAAATGCGGCCTGAGAATTTCTCCTACACTCTCGGCGACTTTGGCGTCTCTCAGGTCCCTCCTAGCGGGTAGTTTCGATGCTACTGGATAAAGTGGGGGCCCAGAGGACAGCTGCTGGGTGCCTCCGGGGCGCCCTGTGTCTTGAGCGAGCCCTTGTGCCTCTCTGAAGTCTCTTGAAGCCTGACTGGCATCCCTGCACAGCTTTTCTGGGGAGCCCCTAAGTCGGAGCACCCAGGAGTTAAGGGTCTGGGGAAACTAGGTAGCTTGGAAGGGCGTCAGACCTCTTATGACTCAACTGGTGTAGTTTTTGATGTCGGTGTGGAGAGGTGTTGGATTCAGAGAGCGGGTCCTTGGTTACTGATGGAGAATAAGAATAGAAAAACTGGAAAGGAGGCGCCACAAGACCAGAAACCTGGCTCACACAAGGAGGTGGGGGTGTTATAGAGCAACCCCGATATTAAACGGGTTCCTGGCTGTGGGTCCTCACCCGCGCGCTTTAAAGGGACTTATGAATACTCCACTACAGACACACACAAAAGGTTAATAAAAGGTTTATTTACAAGAGAAAAGGAAATAAGGAAAATGTACAACTCAGGGGGAAAATAGGGAAATAAAGTCTTTAATGCGTCCTACCCGATCCGACGACCTGGAAACCAAAGTCACTCTCGGAGCTGCGAGCTGGCTGAGAGCCAAAAATGGGGGATCCCCAAAGCCCACGTGTCTGCCTTTTGTATCCACCTGGCTGCTTAACCCCACCCTCAGGTCCCAGCCACCTTCCCTTTGGTGGTGATGGGATTTGGAGTTCCCAGTGTCTTTGGCTTTGACCTGGGGTGGGGGTGGAGTCCACAAAGCCTGTATGGAATTAGCTTTGGGACATCCTTTTCCCCCTAACAGGGGTAGAAGGGATTCAGCTTAGCCATTGACCCAGCTATAGAAACCAAGATCCTGTGAATGGCAAGAGTTTATCTTTTTTGATTGCTGAATAATATTCCGTTGTGTCCATGTACCACATCTTCCTGATCCAGTCATCTATTTTTGGGCATTTGGGTTGTTTCCAGGTTTTGCCTATTGTAAATAGTGCTGCAATAAACATTGAGGTACAGGTGTTCTTTTGGATCAATGTTTTTTTTTTTTAAGATTTATTTATTAATGCATAGAAGAGCTGAGGTACAGGCCAGAGATGTGGGGGATGAGAGGATTCACCAGAGACAGAGTGGGGAACAGAACAGGCAGACTGACTGAAATACACTGCTGATGGGAGTAGCAGGCGGGACAGGAGAGGTCTGCTTCACCATGTGGTTGCTCCCTGGCCCACCAGCGATCGAACTTGTGTTACAGAGACTGCAGATCGCTTCATAGTGCTGTGCATAACCCCTTGCGCCACCTGGGAGACCTTGGATCAATGTTTTTGTGTCCTTTGAGTAGATACCTAGGAGTGGAATTGCCAGGTCATATAGTAGCTCCATTTTTAGTAGACTGAGGAACCTCCAGACAGCTTTCCATAGTGGTTGTGTAACAGGGTGGTCCCCAGCAAAGGGGGAAGTTCCAGGTTTCTTGCCCCACCCAAGGGAGGGTGGAGCTGAGCAGAGAGAAGAAGCTGCAGAGGAGACTGAGAAAAGAAGGAAGCAGGGTGGAGAGCAAGAAGGAGCCTCCTGCAGGAGGCACATGGGTCGAGAGACCCTGAAGTAACTACACTTGCCTTTGGGTGGTGGACTGGGTGACACAGATGTGGGTGAGAGACCTGAGGGGCGGTGACAATGGCGGTTTTTGTCTTGATTTTGAGTTTGCTCCTTTCCTCCAGAATTGTCTGGTTGTTTTTGATCCTTTTCTGTGGGTCCCCACTGGAAGATGCTTTAGACTTGGGGCAGGCTTTGGGGCCTTCTTTTGGGCCAATCCTGCTTGGGTGAACTTTTACCCAAGAGGGGACGGGTAACTTTGGATACTTGATTTAGAAACTATATTCTTTGCCTTTCCTGTATTGTTTCTTAATTGTATTAAAGTTCCTTCCCATTAAAGCCTCACATGTTTTGTGTTGATGCCACAGATGGCAGAACCTATTTAGAGCAGGCAGGTTTGCCGGGTCTGGGGTGCCCCTCTCCTTGCCTTGTAACAGTTGGACCAGTTGCATTCCCACCAGCAATGTAGAAGAGTTCATTTTTCATCACATCCTGGCTAACATTTGTTGTTGCTAGTTTTTTTGATGTGGATGGATCTAGAAGGAATTATGTTCAGTGAAATAAGCCAGAAGGAAAAAAGAAAAATATCTGTCGGTTTTACTTATAGCAGGAATATAGGGGAACCAAATAAGACATCAGTGTAAAAAAAATAGTAACAGTACAAAACACAGCAAAGCAAAAACAGGCAATTATAAATCAGAGACATACTGCAGGGGAGGAGGGAGAGAGGAGCAAGGGGGACTGAGGTGATGGTACACGGGAGCATCAGTGAAGGAAACTCTATGGGGACTGCACCTGAGGGGGTGGGGGGAAGCAAATATTGTTTAAAAATGAACAGTGATGTGTAAAAAAAAAAATAGGGCCTCCCTGGTGGCGCAAATGGTTAAGCACTGCACCATGAAGCAATCCGCAGCCTCTGCAACACGAGTTCCAGCCCTAGCCCACCAAGGAGCTACCCACATGGCGCAGCAGACCTCTCCTGTCTCGCCCACAGCTCCCATCAGCAGTGTTATTTCAGTCAATCTGCCTGTTCTGTTCCCCACTCTGTCTCTGGTGAATCCTCTCACCTCCCCTCATCTCTGGCCTGTACCCCAGCTCTTGCATGCATAAATAAATAAATTCTTAAAAATAAATAAATAAAGGGCCTCCCCGGTGGCGCAGCGGTTGAGCGCTGGGTTGCGATGCTGCCCGCGGCCTCTGCGGCGCCGGTTCGATCCCCGGCTGCTCCCCGGCCACCGGAGGAGGGTCCCACATGGTGCGCAGACCTCTCCTGCCGCCTGCTGCTCCCCTCAGCAGTGTACTTCGGTCCTTCTGCCTGTTCTGCTCTCCACTCTGGCTCTGGTGAATTCTCTCACCCTCCCGCGCTTCTGACTGTACCCAGTGCATGTGTAAAAAAAAACAAAACAAACAAACAAATAAATAAAACATGCCTCTATTAAAAAAATAAATAAATAAATAAAAATTTTTTAAAATAAAATAAAAAAAAAAGAAAGAAACCAAGATCCTGATCCTTAGGCCCAAATGCCCAGATTGCAAAGCATGAGATCCAAGCTGGTGTCAGACTGCTGTAGTGATTGTCAGGAGCACAGACCCAAAGGTAAAGATATGGAGATTGAGCCTATTGTAGACTCTCCAGTCCCTTTCAGAGTCTGCATTGTTATCCAAAATCAGCAGCAAACAGGCCACTCCACAAAGGAATGACCCCTCCCAAAGAGAAGAGGATTCTAACCGTGCAGTCTCTGCACTGGCACGGGGCAGCAGTCCTTCTGTCCACCTGTGACTACGCAGGTGCTCCTTTTCACCAACTCTCTCCCTCCGCAGGGCAGCAGTCTCCTGCCTGCCTGTGATCTGTACCTGCAGGGACTTCTCCTCCTCACTGACCTCCCTCAGCGGATGCCGCTCTCCTCAAGCCCCCCCCCCGCCCCCCCTCCACTTGTGACCATGCAGGTGTCTCAGCAAACCTGTCCCTTTAGGGTCACACACACACACCTCTGGCCAGTACCCCAATTCTTAGAGCAGGCCTAGAGGTGGGGGCGTGTGTGTGAAAGGATTCACCAGAGACAGAGTGGGGAGCAGAACAGGCAGATCTACTGAAATTCACTGCAAAGGGGAGCAGGAGAGAGACAGGAGAGGTCTGCTGCGCCGTGTGGGTCAGCTGCCTGGCCCTGGGATGGAACTGTTACAGGGCAGGGAGAGGAGCAGCCCAAACCCCGCAAACCTGCCTATTTTAAATGGGTTCTGCCATCCGCCGCATCAACACAAAACATATGAGACTTTAATGGGAATGAACTTTAATACAATTAGGAAACAATACAGAAAAGGCAAAGAATATAGTTTCTAAATCAAGCACCCAAAGTTACCCATCCCCTCGTGGGTAAAAGTCCACCCAAGCAGGATTGGCCCAGAGCAAGGCCCCAAAGCCTGCCCCAAGTCTTAAGCATCTTCCAGTGGGGACCCACAGAAAAGGATCAGAAATAACCAGACAAGCCCGGAAGGAAAGGAGCAAAATCAAAATCAAGACAAAACCCGCCATTGTCACTTTCCCACGGGTCTCTCATCCACATCTGTGTCACCCAGTCCACAACCAAAAGACAAGCGCAGTTTCTTCACATGTCTCTCTGCTTCATGTGCCTCCTCCAGGTCTCCTTCTGGCTCCATCCTGCTTCCTTCCTTCCTTAGTCTCCTCTGCCACTTCTTTCTCTCCTCAGTTCTACCCTCCTTTTTGGGTGGGGCAGGAAACCTGGAACCTCCCCCTTTCCTGGGGACCACCCAGTTACAGAACTCTTGTTGCAGTGCCTGGCTGTAGCTTGATAGCACTGAGACTTTAACCCCTGCATCACCAGAGCTTTTCTGTGATTTTTTTTTTTTTTTTACTATGGCCTTCAGTGTCTGTATCCCCACCTGGTCTGCACCTCAGTCTGAACATCCGGATACTTTACTTTTCTGTGTTTGACAACTATGTTAATCATTTCTACTCCAACCTCCAGCTTCTGGCCTTCTGTGAGTCAGTTTCTGGTCTTGTGATGCCTCCTTCCCAAATTTTCTACTCTTAGCTTCCATAGTTTTCACTTCTGAAATTACTGAGCAGTAACTCAGAAGAATGCTAAGACTCAGTTTCCTCATCTATAACG